TGATATCAACTCTAACGCCTCGGCCGCGAGCGACCTCGGCATTTTCAATACATATGTTGATTTATTGCAGTGTTGACCAGATTTGGGTTGATATGTTATCAACTCTAGCGCCTCGGCCGCAAGCGACCTCGGCATTTTGGATATACGTGTTGTCTTATTGTAGTGTTGACCTGATTTAGATTGATATGAAATCAACTCTAATGCCTCGGCCGCAAGCGACCTCGACTTTTTGTGAGTATATTATGCTTTATTATATTGGTGACAAACTTTATATCGATGTCATATCAACTCCAGTGCCTCGGCCGCAAGCGACCTCGGCATTTTCAATACATATGTTGACTTATTACAGTGTTGACGAGATTTGGGTTGATATTTAATCAACTCTAACGCCTCGGCCGCAAGCGACCTCTTCGTTTTGTGGGTATATTATGCTTTATTATATTGGTGACAAAGTTTATGTCGATGTCATATCAACTCCAGTGCCTCGGCCGCAAGCGACCTCGGCATTTTCAATACATATATTGACTAATTGCAGTGTTAGCCAGATTTGGGTTGATATAATATCAACTCTAACGCCTCGACCGCGAGCGACCTCGGCACTTTCAATACATATGTTGATTTATTGCAGTGTTGACCAGATTTGGCTCATTACCTTATTGCATTTTTGATTAGATTTGGATTATTTTTTTGACAAATTTAACACAAAAATTCTTGATCACTATTTATACACAACTATTTTATTTTTCTAACCTATATTTCTAAAGAAAACAACGTTCGGTTTATTATGATCACAGATGGATTTTTTGAAATTCCGGCAAACAAATTTATTTCAACAAGACATCTTTTAAATTTTTGAACGAAAAGTTAATTTGATTACGCAAATAACCAAATTATAATAGAAACAGTGACAACTAAAACTACCGCGCCTATTATCATCAAAATGTACTTCATCTTTAAATATTTTTTTTGATAAACATTGGCTTGACGAACATCGCGGGTTCCACGTTGAACGGAACCAGTCGCTTCTTGTATAGTTTTATCTATATGGGTAATTACTTCACCCTGTTCCGCAGTTTTCGCTTGAAAATCTTTATATATTCCAGCCATCTCCGTCATTCTAGACTAAATGAATTAAATTGCTTATAGAAAAAAGAATTGTACATAATGATTTTTTTACCGTCAGTAGTTTTAAATTCCGGGAACGTTCCAGTAAAGCTTCATTTACTGCTTTCTGTTTGTCAATTGCTTCTTGTACCCGTTCTTGTTCTTGTATTTGTTGTTCTACTTGTTCGTGTTGCTGATGTGGATGATGCGTGGATACTTGGGTAGAATGTGATATCCGCTGCTGACTTTTGACTCCTTTGCTTGGAATAATTTTAATGTATTGTTTAGTTGTATGGGTTAAGTTTTCTTGTATCATTTCAAAATTGTTCATGGCTGCCAAAAGATCATATTTTAATTGATCGCATTTGCTCTGCCTCTTCTGCGATTGGTATGTCGCAACCAGACCACTGAGTTCGTCCATTTTATTATAAGTTTTTGTAACTAATTCTTTAGTACTAAGTTCTATCGCATTTAGTTGTTTTACTAATTTCGGTGTATCTTTTGATGTTCCTATTTGATTTCCCATTTTTTTCATGGAAGCAACTAATCATTTTAAAAATAGTAGTAACTAGAAAAACATATTTTTATAATTTCTTTTAATACCATTTTTTGTTATCGTTCGTATTCCCGAACCGATCGCTTTAGTGAGGTTTTCATATTCCTTTTGCTTGATCGTTGCTTCACTTCCTTTTCTACTGAACGAGGATGAAATTCGTGAAATTTTATACATGGTGAAATCTCTTTTTACTTTATACACCCCCCCAAAAAATATAATCCGCGTTAACTTTACATTCGGTAAACAAATACAATATAAATTTAAAAAGAAATTCTAATTATAACAGGTTATGTCATGGAATGTGTCACAGAAATGTCAGTAACATCATTTTTATTGTAGTTTTTTCTGATTTTCGTTGTGCATCGAATCATTAAGTTTTAACACTTTCATTTCAAACATTTTTTAAATAACATTTTCTTAAAGGAAATGAAAAATCTTTAAAAATGATTATAAACTCAACGTGGTTATCACTTTATCACAGAGTAATAGTACACTATCATCATTAATTACCAAATACCAGAAGAGGAACGTAGTAATTCAACAATTTTTCCAAGTTCCGAGGTGATAATTTTGATCTTTCCGATTCGTGTCAATTAGGAAGACCAACAACTTTAGATAATGACCTGTTAAGGGCAAAAGTGGAAGCACATCCGTGTCAGACGATCGAAGAACTATCAAATACTCTTAACCAACCTTGGTTGACCATCCAAGAACATTTGTATTCACACAAATGTATTCTTTTTTAACATATATGGATAGAAAATTAAAAATCCTTTAAAATGAACCCAAACTCGACCTATTTATCTCCAACCATTATCGAGATATCTTAATTTTTAGTAAAAAAAAATGGCGGTTATTTGACATTTGACAGTTATAACCTAACTTTTTTATTTTTTACACCAAATATATCGTGTTTGGTATCAAATGAAAGCATTTTTGATCCTTATTAAGATCATTTCAACATTTATCAAAAAATCATTATATTTAATTTTGACATTTGACAGTTTCTAACCTAACTTTTTTAACCCAAATTTATCATGTTTGGTATCAAATTAAAACAATTTTGATTCTTATTAAGATCATTTCAATATTTGTCAAAAAAACGTTATATTTAATTTTGACATTTGACAGTTTTCAACCTAACTTTTTTATTTTTTAACCCAAATTTATCATGTTTGATATCAAATTAAAGCAATTTTGATTGTTATTAAAATCATTTCAATATTTGTCAAAAAAACGTTATATTTAATTTTGACATTTGACAGTTTTCAACCTAACTTTTTTATATTTTAACCCAAATATATCGTGTTTGGTTTCAAATGGAAGCATTTTTGATTCTTATTAAGATCATTTCAATATTTATCGAAAAATCGTTATTTTTAATTTTGACATTTGACAGTTTCTAACCTAACTTTTTTATTTTTTAACCCAAATGTATCGTGTTTGATATCAAATTAAAGCATTTTTGATCCTTATTAAGACCATTTCAATATTTATCAAAAAATCGTTATTTTTAATTTTGACATTTGACAGTTTCTAACCTAACTTTTTTATTTTATAATCCAAATATGTCGTGTTTGGTATCAAATGAAAGCATTTTTGATTCTTATTAAGATCATTTCGATATTTATCAAAAAATCATTATATTTAATTTTGACATTTGACAGTTT